CGATACAATGTACGCGCATTAATATATATAGATATACAGTGTATATGTATATATATATATTTGACACATGACGTGAAAAATTATTTTACTTGAGAAAAGCTGGATTTTTCTATTTTTCCTGCAAGAAACCTCCCCGGGAAACTAATGAAAATCAGATAATATATATAGGGTGAGTGACCTTTGTTGCATCTCTTACGTAAAAAAAAAACATACCCAGTATCTGCGTGATAGCACGTGATTCAATAAGACGGCTTTAAGACCTCGGATTGTCGATTACTTTTTCACGAGCCACGTCGACAATACTCATAAGGAATTTACCGTATGATCTACATTTCCTCCTATACCCGAAAATATATAACATTGTTATCCTCCTATACAGAACGTTGATATTCGACCAACGCTCATACACGAAATCCTCGATGTAAAAGTCAGCGGCTTCAGTGATAAAAAGTAGTGTGCTTTAAAAGGGAAAACGATCGTCAATTCAAGAATCTTCGCACTCTACTCGCCCGAGAGCCAAATGGCGGGCGCTTATTGGCGCAAGAACTTTCAAGGCAGATATCTCGGACGACGACGTAAGTAGACGTCCGTCGTCGCGGCGCCAAGTACACATAGGACAAGCAGAAGCGAACTTTCCTAAGAAAATATAAGATGTCGTTCGAATGTTTGCTCGTTTCTGGACCACTGTGTAAATACATATACATATCCCATTCAGCATCCATTTCCTTTCGATACCATCTCCCCCCCCCGCTTCCTCCTACCTCGTCGCACTCGTACCTATTCAAGGGTCAAAGATCAAAATATGAATAAAATAAGAATGAAGTACCCATCATCTACCTTCTTATCAATAATTCTTAAAGCAGGTAATCTTTTCTATACCTTAAACTTCAAAACGACCCCCCATCAAGCTTCCATATATTTCCTAGCTTCAACAACCCCACCAACCGCCCCTTACTTAAATCCTTGTAGACGATTGGCGAAACTCGAGATGAAAATCACGAGTGCTCGAATTTCATTAGCGCTCGAGTACCGTTGCACTAATTAGACAAGTCCCAGGGACTTGGGTATGTTTCCACGACGCTTACGACGTCAAGTCTACAGATTGTAACGCTCTTACAAGTTTCCCTAGAAACTCTCTGTCTAGGCGTATCCCATTGAGGGGATATAGCCAGCCCTAAATATCCTAGCGAGGTACAATATATATATATATATATATATATAGAGGCTGAAGTCGGTTAAAGCGAGGCCAAGGTATAAGGCAAAGGTAATGGCAAGTCAGGATAACGGATTCATCCCAGTAAGGGAAGGAAGGAAGGTACAAGATACAAGTAGAAGATGTACTGCTAGCACCTCCAGATAGTACTTGTAGCCACAATGTCGCGACGGTACTGAAGTAAGAGCCAGAGGTCCAGTGAAACTTCTCTTTGAGACGAGCTTCTGGATGGGACCAATTAGAGACACCCTAGTACAACCTCGTCTCCTTTTGAGAAGGAGACGTATTTCGCGTCGTCCGCCTCGCTACCGGGTGTCAAATACGAAACGTGAAGCGCGATGGTCTCGCTCGAAGAAACGTAACATCGAAGATATACAATATAGAGAAAACGGAGGGAGCCGACGCTGAGGGTCTAATTCATTGAGAAAATTACATTCTAATCCATTAGGGAAGGCGACGTCGAGGGTGACGGAACTAAAAGGAAACTACGCACAGGGTGTCGAACAGAACCGCCGATGCTCCCCATATTACCTGTCAATCACCTATGAGCATGCCTGTCGGAATATGTACTATGACAATGTATCGAAATGACTATTGGATAAAAATGCCTGGAGAACGTGACGATTCAAGGGGAACGTCCCTGTACGTTGGATTCGTAATAAAAGCCCGGGAAATTCGAATTCATTGAACTAGAGTGAACGAGGGCGACATCTGGAATATTATAGGGCTACATGTTAATCCATTACAATGCAATATTAATGAACACAGAGTACGTACAGCTAGGCAGGAAAATTGTCGATGGTATTAGGAGGCAGAGTGTGGAAGAAGGGCGCGAGGAGGAGGAGAACAGGAAAGGACACTCGGTACGTACAAATCAAGATAATGGCGGATATTTCACGGTAATGTAACGGGTGGCTGAATCGTATAGGTCTCGCGGGATTTTCGAGTGCGCGGCCATCATCTGTATCAATAGAGAGCAGCAGCGTCAGAGTCCCCTCCACTCCCCCTCCACTTTCGTGCCATCCAACTATCTTGCATAATGCGCGACGTACCGGATATCGACATTTTTCTTCAGCACCGACTACACATCGTCTCGTTCAACCTCGTAAAATTCTCTATCTAGTATCATCTTTACTTCGCCTAGCCTCTACCCCTACCTATCCGCCGTACCCGACCTCGATAACATTGCACTGCCATTTTCTTCCTTTTCGCAAATTTTGGCTTGCACTGGTCGTTCCGTGCTCAGCTAACCAGACGTTAATTTCCGGCGGGGCCTTCGTGCGCAAGTGGGTATCCGCAGAGCGGAACAAAGGACTCATCGAAGACTCCAGGCTTTATCGTGCGTTTCGTATGCACGGTGTTACATAACCTAGGAAACGCGAAGCAAGGTGAAAATCCGCAACAAGCATAGCTGAGCTCTGGAAATTCATGAGTCGGATAAATAAAGGAATGGAGTACGTACGGGAAGTGGCTGAGTGAATTCCAGTGGAAGTTCTACGTGCTGCTATCGAGGTATCCTGGTTTCCATGTGGGAAATCAATATCGATTGGAGAACTTTACGCGTGGGAACACTTCGGCCCTGGTCTGATAGAATGCATATTAATGGTTTGGGAGGTAGTGCGATGACTGGATGAGCCACTAGACTGGATTCAAAGAGCGTTAAGGCACGTTAACGCGTTTATTTATTAAACGAAGGCGGTTCGGTTAGAGCACCTGTAGGTATCAACGTTATACACGCTCATTCACTTCGGATACCCTAGTAATATTTGAATAATAAATCCTATCTGGAGATACAACCTCTGCGTTATCGCACGGTGCCGTAATAATCCATTTGACAGTACGATAAGAGGGTAGGCATTCCCGGGAATCACTGGAGCTAAATTATTTAGAGGTTAAGGGCCCTAACCAGGCGCGAAATAAAAGAAAGAACAAGTCAATACATCCCCCACGCATCCTTGTCCCACATAATACTTCCTATTTGCTTTCCTGTATTACGAACTTAGCTCCGATGAAATATTTAACGTCTCCTCGACGCCGCGTCGTTCTCCTCGTCGATGTCCTCGTTTCCATAGTCTCGGGGAGGGGAAAGGGCGCCGCAGCATTTCTGACACTTCCAGCCAGCAAATTAGAAATTCTAACGAAGATTAAAGCTCCCTCGCCCGGAGCTTCCTCTAGCATTACGTCGCCTTACCTAGGTACCAACCCCCCCCCCCCCCCCC